CATCCGTATCAACGCCACGCGACTCAAGGCGTACCATCTCGTGAATAAGCGATCGTAATGGACATGAAGAGGTTGCATGGACTACCGAGGTGTTTTCCACCAGTTTGTAGGAGGACTGGAGGTATCAAGCGAATCTGCACCTGTCAGTGTGCCGATTGAAGCGGGTGATGTGGAGACCAACATGCATCTATGGTTGCCCACAGTCGCTGATCTCTAGTGATGTGTAGTGCGGGTGCCGTCGAGACACTGACGTCGCTGGCCACTTTCGTCTGCTTGGCCACGGATGGAATGTCCTACGTGCCGGTCGGCCTCTAACAACGAGAACATGGCACTTGTCAATCGTGTTTCATGAGCTAGAGGCTGTCCACCCCGTTGTCAACAGCTATCCCAAGGATGGTCAACACCGCATACACGGAGCACTCGACGCCACCCGGTGTTGCGTTGGCTGGCACACCACTTGAACATGATTCTTGCGACTCGTACCCCCGAGGTCGTTATAGTGAAATTTCCTCGATCGTTCCCGTGTGTTGCCTCACGCCTTCAACGTCACGAACGTGACAGGTTGACCGAACGACATTGGAGTCGCGCGACTCGAAACAGAGGACGACCTGCCGCCGGTCCTGTGCGATAAAGCCGTGCTTTCCACTCCATGCAGCGACGAATGCCAGTGCGCCGCCCCTTGCCCCAATCCCAATATGGGGCGAAATGGAGCAGTTCTCGTCGATGACCGCAGCTTCGACGAATGGACATCAGTATGGTTGAGAGCAGGACTGAGGAGCACGTTTCGAAAACTCCGTGGACGTCATAACAATCGAGACGGAGTCCGATCTGTGGATCAAATCTGGCACAGGAGCCTTCCTTGCCAGGGGGCGTTGGATGCAAACGTGCGATCCTAGCAGCATGACCTCGCTGTATTGCACGAATTCGAGATGCCAGGTTCTTGTTGTCGTCGGACGTCAACACTGGTTGTGGAAGTGGACGATTTTTCCATGGGTGGGGCAGACTGGCAACCTCATGCGGCTCATTTCGCTCTAACCTTGGTTGTTACCGCACCTCTGAAGGACGGACACTCGCGCGCGCCAAGAGACTAAAAACTGCGAGCAGCCGAAGGCTGCTGATCCCACTGCAAGTAATCTTTTATGGATCCCGTTGTTGGGCGAGAGCATTGTTTGCCGTTGCGATGCCTCGAGGAAATACATGCTCACATTCCGTTGGTTGCGGTTCGACTGGTTGATCGTCTCGTACCACACGACGTGATGTGGCCGTCGGGCGAGATCCTGCAGCTGCTTGCAAAGAGAACGCGTGGGGCCTTTGTTGATTCGCTTACCCGTGCACTTTTGAACTTGCCGACGAACGATACAAAAACACAATGGAGTCACTGGACACAGCGACACCATCGTCGTGATTGCAAAGACGGCGTTCTGTTTACTGAGCATTTGGTGGCAGGTATCGTTCTTGAACTGGCCAAGCTGCGGCACCTATCGAACGCATGGCCTGGATAGATCTAGCCCTCGACAGGCGCTGCCTTCTTGCGTAGTTGCACCGTCGTGTCGTAGAAGCAAGTCCTCGGTGCCAATTTTCCCGAGCTGTGTGTGTCGTTGTGGTCGTGACGATGTTCTGTTCCGCTGTGCTGGTCGACAACGGCGAATGCCCCAACCGTGACGGGGTTCGCGTGGGTCTGTGGGCGCGACGATCCTCGGCGAGTGTTTCGATGCTGACTGCCTGATGGCGCGATCAGGCACTTAGTCGCATGCACGTATTGCTGAAAGCATGCTCCTTGCAGGAGTTGTCGGGGACGAGCACGATATGCTCATGAACATCCCTGGCCACACGGACCCATTAACGCTGAGGTCGCTCTGGAGACGTGATGAGCAGCTCAGCTGCTCCGCTGGGAAGGCCCTGAGTCTGTGTGTTTTTTAGACCCATGTCGACGTACAAATGGAAGCTGCAAATCGAGCCCACACGGCACAGTACGGCGGCCACCTCACGGTCCAGTCAGTGCATTCCGGAGTTGTCGAAGGCCGAGTTAGTTCGATGTCGGTTCGTAGTCTCGTATGTGGTGCTGGCCTTTCGCAAAAACGACACGCACGAATGTTGTCTAGAAACGAGATGGAGTGCAGCCACAAATTCCCATGCCGAACCCATCATGCGCGGCCTGACACGAACGGGCCATTCCCTTCACCGCCCTACCCAGCTCAACTCCATGCCACTCTTCTACCTTTGCGACAAGAGGATGTCGGACGCCGGAGACGGCTTCGCTGGCCTCCCGAACGTTCGGTTCCCGACCGAATCAGCAGGTTCCACACCCGCGAACATGCAACTTAAGGGTGCCGACATGCAGGTCAAATTACACGATTCAGTTTAGACACATATAGATATCTACCTGGCCGATGGACACGCAGCCGGTAACGACATGTCCTGCGCCGCGACAGCGCACAGTTCGAAATCAGTCGAATGCGACCGCCTGTCGTGGCGTCGTCGTCGACGTGCGGACGCCTCCCACAGGATGGCCGTCCGTCGACCAAACGATGGCTTGACGAGGATATGAATAATATGTTCCTGTTGGTCAAAATAGACATGGACCGACGAGTCCACTATTTTCCGAGCGCTTGTTTGGAGCCACCCACGCGTCCCGAATATGGAACGCCGCATGCGACGTCGCCGCCCCCCTCGACGCGGATACAACGTCACGTCGAAAGTAGCCGAAGATGTAGGTGCAAGGTTCTTCTCGCGGGGGTCTCACGCTCGCGAGTCAAGATGATTTAGCCTTTCTTCTGGCCGTGAGGATTTCCAGATGGAACCCATGTCTCTCGCAGCCTTGCCGACCCAATACCGTGGAATCTGTCAAGCGACTGGTTCGGTTGCGTGCTGGTGGATGACGTTCGTCGTGTTGACAGAAGTTGCCTGCCTCCTCCCACCTACTTTCCGTTCAGGTACCATCCGATGTCGGTGGATGGCCGTCCAGAAAGAAATCGACGAGTTCCTCTGCATAAGACCGTGCACAGAGGTAGGTCTCCCCGGCTCCTCGCCGAAAGCTCCGCCTTGCCCGCTCGATTGCTGTCACACCTCTGCCGCTTCTTCCACTACCCCTTCGAGCACCAAACAGACGAGTGTACCCCATGTCCCGTTTGGTGGACTCGATTGTATGTCAACAGCACGACCACATCTTGCATCATGTCCTGGTGTCTTCAAATCCCGTCGTGTCCGGATAACCGACGCGGCCCGGCCGCGATCACATGTGGACACGTGCCACTGTCGCTTTCGTAATCCAGCACATGCCTTGGGTGCAATACGACGGGCAGCGCACTGGCCTGAGTTAGGTACCGACCACGCACAACCTCGTCCAAGTTCAACGGTGCGCTCCCAAACGAAGATTGAGACTGCACCCACCCATAGCAGCATCTTCATCGTCGCACCGTTCGTGGCTCAGTTTCGAAATCGCCGCTCTGCATGGTCGTCGAGGCTGCCGCAACGCTGCCTTCCACACAGCACCACCGCCACCTCATCATGCGCAAGACTCATGCGATGGGCAACCACGACGTGACACATGACGAACGAGCGCATTATGTCAGACGGCTCGTCCAGGAAGTCGTCAAGGTGTACACATTGCTGCATTCGCCGTTTGACAGGGTCGCCGTGCACGAGACTTGCAAAGCGTTGGAGCACGAGGTGTGGGAAACCGCCCCGAACGCTGACGACTACGTCCGCCAAATACGCGCCCAAGTTCAATCCATCTCAAAACGAGGACGGTGCCTTCTTCAGCAGCGAGATTTCGAAGACGCCTCCAGAATCGACAGTCGGCCTCCAACCACTGCTCAGCGCTTGTCATTGTACGAACCTCATACGTTGTCGGCAACTCCAGAGGAATCGAAACGACACCTTCAACAAGCGCACCTCCGTCAAGCACTGAGCACCTCGTGGCTGAAGTCCCAACGTAAAGCGACTCGCTTCCGGTGGGAAGGTCCTGCTGATGTCCAAGAAGAAGCATATGTACAGAGTGTTCAAAAAGCCGCGCGCAGTGACATCTATGAAGCTGTGCGGAATCTGTATTACAATCAACTTGTCACCTACGAAGAACAGCTTCGTCAGTCGCTGGACGTCGAGCACCGCGACTGGGTGGCGTACGACTTGAGCGTCGTGCAAGGTTTTCTCGCCACGCTAAACTCGGCAGCGCCAACCTCAGCTTCCCATCACCACCACCACCACAACACCCACACGCTGCATTGCCAGATCGAAAAAGTCCTCAAGGAGAAGGCTCTGTTCGACTACATGTGGGAGATGGAACGCTGCAAGGTGTTCAACATGCCAATTTCCCCAGACTCCAATTATTTACACCCTTAACTATATCGTTTTTCCCCCTTCTTGGCTCCTCTCAGACTGCGGCACCAGCGGCGGCGGCGGCGCTTGCAATTCCAAATTCCGAATTTCCAATTCGTCTGAGATCATCCGGATACCGCCCGAAGGACAGTCAATTGGGTGTTGTAAAACCCACTGGAGCTTCCGCGTCGACACTACTATCCGGATACGACCACCCCGCCGAATGCCTGAATAATCAATCTGAGCGTAATGGCTTTTCGACACACGCCAAGTGGCGCCGGCGATATACGTTCTCGCTTCCGTACGTGAGGAGTAACTCACGTTGCGGGAACACCAGGTGAATGCTACCAAAGTTTACTTCACAACGTGAGGGAGAGGGGCCAACAGAAGGACAGCCGTCACGACTTTTCCGACGCTGCGGTTTGACGGGGGCAGTCGTTCGATGCATGAGTGGTGTAAGAGGGGGGATTATTCGCGCGTGACAGATTGCACGAAAGCACTGGCAAATGGATTGTTCTTTTTGGTTTCGTGGATTTACACCTACTGACTGCACCAGTGCGGGGGCTGCGGGTGCACTACCCGTGGAATGATCAATGGGCTCGGAATACGTGTACAGCAGGCGCTTCGGCCTATGTTCTACTAGTAGTACTACTACTAGTACTCGGTCATGCTGAAGCACATGGTGAAGTAATTTGATCCAACTAATTTATCCGCGAGTCCATCAAGTGTATTCCCCGTTTCTCTGGTGAACATGTATTACTTCCTCTCATCCGGTAAAGTGGAGACCATGGCATTTCAATTCGACAGTATTTCATCATCATATGCGAATACGATGATTTTGTCAGAAGAGTATACCTTTTATACGGATTTGAGATGTACAGGTAAAAGATTGGGCGACTTCGAAACACAGTTCAAATTATAGCCAATGAAACATGTTCAATAAACATAATTCGAGATTTCGGAATTATATTTGGCAAGTGTATTAAATTGTCGGGAGAAGTTGCGTCGTTTGAATACAATACACGTAGCGCAGAAAGTTGTGACGAAGCCAAATACGTGCTTCTTGCGCCAATGGTAGGCATTTAGCCAGTCCATTGGGTGTTGATTAGTCCAGTTGATGAAATGCATCTCGGATAACATCCTTTGTGGAGTCGAATCTCTTGGATGAAGTTCTCTCGGCATATTGGGTCTGGAATTACTTCGCTGCGTCTTCCTTGCTCGAACTTTTTCCGATTCTATTTTTCATCGTAATCATGAATTTTGGCCGCAACTCTACCCCGTTTCATCGAGTTCGACGAGGGATGTTAAGACATGACGACAACCTCGTAGTCAATCATAGATTTCATGACTTCATTGAACTTGACCTTGGATGAAATGAAGTGCGTAAAATTAGTTGAGGCGACGTTTGCATATTACTACACAACTGTGCCACATAATATTACCAAAATCTATTTGCCCTACCGCTCTGGCCAATCACA